CAACATAGTCTGAAAGAATACATAGGCTTCTAATTAAGTTTTTTTTTTAATTCCGCGCAGATGGACAAGGCGACAGCTAGTTTACAATATTTTTTAAGAGAGATCATGTTTTTAAGGGTGTTTCTGTAATGAAAACCCAAGTCTAGTAAATATTAATTTTGAGAATTATAAAATGCTGTCTTGCGGGGAAACCCGGCGTTATCTCTGTTATTTCAAAGAGGAAGAAAGAGATGACGACATGTTTTACACGTATTTGGGCAGTTGAAACTCATGGTAATTCATCAGCAACTACGTTTTACTTTTTTATAAACTTTCTTCCTTATAAAATGCTTTTATGGTTATGTGACTGATTAAAGATAGAAAAGTCCCGAAATAAATTTAATCTTTATCGATATAAAACAATAGTATGGATGATAAAAATTAAATTTTTATTATATTGTTATGTGTCACCAATCAGTGTGATATTTTTGTGTTTTTACGTATACGAACAAGGACGCCATTTTTTTTTAAAGTGAATGGGGCAAAGGAACAACGACGTGTTCATCGCCCATAGACATCCAAAATACCAGACGAATGTTAAATAGATAGATGAATGAGCTACTTCAATTTATTCAATGGCTATCTTATTTACTAATGCATTCGAGGATCATACTACGGTGTTTTTTATAAGATGGCAAACGAGCGAGCGGCCACCAGAAATCGCTGAAATAGCGAAGTGACCGTTGCCCATAGACATAAGCAATTGCATATGCGTTGCCTACCTTTCATCGACGGAGGAGAGGATGCACAGAAAGAAAATATTTTCCCCTTCCATGCATCCTCTCATCTGGAAAGTCCACTTCCACTTCCCATCCTATACTTGTAAGAAAAAGGGTAGGTAGTGAAAGATGACTAAATTAGGCCTCCAGTACCACACTCATCAGACGAAACGCGGAATAGCTTCCACTTCACGCCTATCTTCTGTGTGGTCTTGGTACATCACCGGGTGAGCCGGGTAAATTCGTGCGAAGATGTTAAAGCGGGCTCTACCACTGTTACATTGTATGTGTATTATTGGAGATGTGGATTTCGTAAGAGACTAGCTTTTGCCTCGAATTCTTGCCGAATTAAAAAAACCTAAATGAGTAGCCCTAATATGCTGTCAGACTATGTTCTACATATGTGACTAATTTCATCAATATCCGTGGAATCGTTGCGGAGATCTTCGAAACAACTTTCGAATTTATAATATTAGTAAGAGTAGCTGTCGCCCGCGAATCTGCAGTACATTTAAAAATAAATGTATTTTTTAAAACAAATGCCAACAACGATCTTCGACAATTTAAATTAATTTCTAGAGTTCATTAACCTCAGCTTTTGAAGGCTTAAATAAAAGCTTCTGCATAATTAAGGTTTTACGGTCATGACAGCTAACCGCGATAGGAAGTAATCTATAACTAAGTAACGGTGGTCTGTTTGTACGTGATCTCTGTACAGAATTCTATAATGAGATTTATTAAAATTCGCCATTGTACCGCTCTCAGAGCTCTTCGAATTGATTCCAGGTGAAAGTAAATTTGTCGGTCAGGAATAGGTTCGACATTATTTTTGTGTTTTTCGGGATAAGTTTCTTGAATTAAGAAAAAAGGAGTTGGTTTGCAGGATTAATTAGGATAGCATAAATAGCTATGTGCATAAAAAATTTAAAACTCAAAAAGCTTTGGGATTTGCGGAGTATTTGTGTGCTTTAAATCGTAGTGTAATATTACTTGTAAATTAGCTTCAAGAGTATGGACTCAAAGCAAATTGTGTACGCGAATCTATTACGCTTGCGTGGAGGAGGGATAAATGGAAAATCATCGCATTTAATATTATTACGAATGACTTTATCTGTTTTGAAATCAGAGGGAATGTCCGAATTTAATCTAAATTTTTAGATTATTTAGAGTCACTAGATTTGTTTTAGAAAAAAGGGAAAAGAAAGTGGACAGTCCCACAAAATGTAATGACATAGTGTCATTAGTTAAATAGAAAGGGTATTGAAATTTAAGAAAAATTGGTTTTTCCTTAGTCAGATGCGCGTTGCCAATATGGCCACTAGATATTTAATTTCGTAAAGAATGTTTTAAAAATATAAATATAAATTTTGATTAAAATGTTATAAGATTTTAGTGGTTTTATATATATATAATATTGTAATATTTTAGTGAAATTTCGTGTATTTTTTGATTTTGAAATGTGACTTTATGAATTAAATTGAAAATTGTTAAAATTTCAAGATGACATAATTATAAAAGTAAGCATATAATATCATAAATTTTTATTTTCTTTGCTTGTAAAATAATGCAAAATGACCTAAATAACATTTATTCAATAGTAAGTAGTATTTAAGATGTTTCTTACTGCTTAAAACAAACTGGTTAACCAAACAAAATAACCAGCTGTTTTATTTTATCAGTCGCTTTCTCTCTTCATGTCTATGTAAATAATTTCATTAAATATGTAGTATTCTGTTGTATTATATGATTGTAAGTTGTTAAAACTTTGATTTGTTGTACTAGCTATCACCCGCGACTTCGTCTGCTCGGAATTAAAAACAAAGATGACCTTGATTGTGACCTACAAGTTAAACACCGGTTTAAGTGATGGGTCATTCGTTTACTTTCCTGGCTGGTAATAAAAGTACGATCAGACGTGTTTGGTTTTTTTTTTAAATTACGAAACAATTTTTATTGTCTGTGAAATTGTATATCCGTCATTAGTGACATGCGGGATGGAATGTAGTTTAAGTAAAAAAAACTAAAGTCATTGATACTCTGTAGTCGCAATTAACCTTGCAAGGTTGTATGCATACACAGTTCAATGGTTATTCCTATAATTATCTAGAGTATAAATAAAAAGTATATCTTACTAATATTATAAATGCGAACCTTTAGTTTAGATTGATGTTTGTTAGAAGATATCTGCAGGGCGTATGGATCTCGCTGGAAGAATACGTAGGTCACTTTTTAAGTTCTCTCAATAATTCGATGAATGAGGTAAAGAAACATTTTAGAAGTAACAGTTCATCGCGACTTCGTCCACGCGATATAAAAAAATCGCATATGTCCCCCCGATGGGCGGGGGGGGGGGGTAGTGTAGTTTCCCAGGAATCATTTTTCAAATCTTTTCTCATTATAATATTACTAGCGTATGACCGTGACTCCATCCGCGCGGAATAAAAAATTAGTAGCCTATGTGTTTTTTCCGAGCTTTCTAGATTTATGGCAAATGCCAGCGAGATCCACGCATCCGTTTTGGTGGTACCTTTTTAAAAACATGCAAACATCCATACATCCAAACATTGGCATTTAATAATATTAGTAAGATTTAAGATTTCATATACGTATTTGGATAAACCGCTGACTGGGTTAACACCATGAAAATACGATAAGATTAATCAACCAAACTATAAAACATTAATAAAGAAATGATGAAAGATTCCACTAAAATTGTAAACACGTTACTCAATAGTTAAGGGTTTTCGTTACTTTTTTCCTTGTTTTGAATATTCAATGTGCACAGAGTAACTAGGAACAGACACATCTGATTCATTTCTTATCAGTGATTGAAATGTTAGAAATATACTATTTGTCATGAAAGTTTAATTTTATCTTTAACATTATTATTAAGTATCGTTGATTCATCATCATCAGCTCACTATACGTACCCACCGAGGGGCTCGGATTATACTTTAAGTTAGTGGTGACTAGGCCATAGTCAACCACGCTAACCCAGTGCGGGTTGGTCGACTTCACACATACCTTTGAATTTCTTCCCAGATTTGTGTCGGTTTCTTCACGATGTTTTCCTACACCTTAAGAACGTCGGATAAATGTACATCATATAAATGTAAATTAAATATCGAAAAACACATTGGTAAATGGCCGGTTTCGAACCCAGGTCCAGCAGATTACAAATCAAGTGCTTAACCCCTGAGCCACCGTCACTCTATCGTTGATTATTTTCTTAAAATTATCAAAAAAATGCGAATTTTAAATAATATAGAACTGATATTTAAATTCAATCCTCCTAAGAGCGTCAATGTCGCAAACAAAACGCTTATATAGAAATATATTTCTAATACATATGTGTTGGAGTATAGTGCGTGTATTTTCACTTAAAAATCTTAATAGTATGGTAACATAATAATAAAAAAAATGATTAAAATTGCTTTGTGCATAAATAAGGAAAGATTAATGGTCAGCCGAACATTACCAGACTGATATAGATAATATTAGATTCACTTTAAATCTTGTGATTAGTTGATAACTAAGCTTTTAATGCCAACTTAAAACATAAAGATACAAATAAAGATGAGCATTATATGACGCACGAATGTTTAATTCACAAATTATATTTATTATAACAAATAAACTATCGATACTGTATAATTCTGATGTGCTTTAACAAGAGTTTAGAAGAAATCACACAGTTTGGAGGCTCGGAACATCGTACAAGGCTGTGCAGACAATTTTAGGTATAGAAAAAATGTAAGAAAATCGGCTAGGGAGTATTGCTCAATACGGCAGACTGACGAGCCACAAAAATCAACGCGGTCAACGACTGCTTAAAACGATTTAATAATAATACATATAAAATAATACATTCACAAGCAATAGATTTATAAACATTATACTTTTAAAAATCTAAAATGCGTTCTGTAGCCCTAAACTGACTTACGATTGTTTTCACTGGAATGGAGTATGGCCTGAAACCTTTCCTATACCTTATTTCTCGGGCCTATCTATATACACTTTGTTTTTTTTTTAAATGAAAATACCTTAATTTTTAGTCTGATTCCGATCTCTCTGTATCGGTCTTGATCTGTGCAAAAATATGATCTTGTGCGGCGAAATTGAGAAACCCTTTGATTATTTTACAGCTGACATAAAACAATTGTCGTCTGTCGCGGTTTATGTTGTGATTTAGGCGATTAGTGTACTCCTAGCTGATAAACCTTATCAGATACCAGCTCACGAAGGGTGTCTATATATTGCCAATGTTTGACAGATGCTACATTAGTTGTGACCATCTGGGAAAGCGTATTCAAGTTTCCAAAGTGTGTGACATCGACTTTTTCGGTGGAAAAATCGATTATAAAATGGTAATTATTTTGTTTTACATTGTATTGATCAACTACAGCCTATTTTAACTCGTGTAACATTTAATTTAATAATTATTCGTCAACATTAAATAGAAGACGCAATTTAAAAATTTCATTCGTATTATTATGGTTTCAATGATTGTCTTTTGCTTAAATATTATTTCTTTATTATTTAATAAGATTAACACTTGTTACTATATGGTTTTAAATTAAAGGACCAAATCGCCTATTAAATTTAAATTGGTGATTCAACCGAAATTATTAGTCCGAATGACTCATTCGACCATTGTACCACGACTACACAGATGACAGGCGTAAATTGGAAGCACTGATCTCTCTAAATGGATAGGCATTTGCTTAGAAATGGCAGCTTTCGGTTCGTTCCTATTTAATCGCGCCTGTTGTTCTTACGATATAGTAAATTCTATGTATCTTATTAGTTCGAATCGTCACCGCCACTATTAACCGCTTCTATCAACGCCAAAATGGCAAAATTCAAATAGGCACAAAATATTACGTCTTATAGTCGGTCTAGTTATATTGGAAGTAATTCCGCTTTTCATCTGAGGGCCTGTGTCGTATAAAATAAAATAATTATAATAAAAAAAATCTCTAAATTAACGTTAATATGAGGTCTTTCTAACTATTTCCGTATGATAAATACATCACCCCTATTGCCTTTAGATTCAATTAAACAGCACATGTATTTATAAGTATAATTTTACTGTGATTTTCGCATTTAACAAACGTAAACTGCATTATAATGTTTTGTCATTATCAGAAATTGTGTCGAAGTGTTATTGACTTTGTGGATATAATTAAAGGCAGAAATTAGGTAAACTATTCGCCTACTGGTCAAAATAGATCATAATTCATAATCAAAGAGTTTTTATATTAAAAATAGTGTTACGTATTTCTCCACATCAACATTAACTATATCGAATTTCACTTAATTAATTTCAAAATAACCTAAAATACATATCAGCTTCCTTCTAATAAAAATCCCGCCAAAATCGGTTCAGTAGTTTTGACAATTACACGGAAAAAACGCGGACTTGAGACAGATTAAATTTAAAAAAAAACGGCTTTTATAAGTAACGTAATTTATCCTGTTCACGAAATATGTTTTTCTCATATTACATATGTACACTCCAATTTTATTGTTTAAATATATGATTTATCAGTTGTAAGGAAACAATTTTCAAAAGATACAGAAAACAAGGCCCTTGACATATTTGTTTTTATTATTATAATATTTACGCTACGTTACTATACTAATATTATGGAAGGAAAAGTTTTGCAACAAAGCACAGATAATATCAAAAAGATATAATCGATATACGCACTATAGATATGTATCAACACCATTAATTAATTAGAAAATCATGTGGTTGTAAGTTTAAATAAAAAATGATGAAATAATATATCTCCATCTTTATGACATGAGAGACAGAGAGAGAAATAGATAGAGAAAAGCAGAAGAGTAAATGAGATGGGCATATATGTTCATTTCATGTCAACGTGTGGTACCGTGGTCCGTGGTAAAGTTAACCTGTGTGCTATATTGAATCTTATGCCCTAGATGTTGTGGTATATTGTCGCGGCTTGCGCGCTGGTGGTGTCGGTGTCCGGGCACGGCCGCGTGCTGGAACCCCCGTCACGCGCGTCGGCATGGCGTTTCGGCTTCCCCACGAAGCCAGATTACGACGATGATGGGCGAAACTGCGGTGGTTTCTCGCATCAACACCAAGTCACCGGTGGCAAGTGAGTTGCAATATAGACCTTATGCGTTAGATTGTGTTACAATAATAATAATACAAAGATTTGATTTGTTCCGGCCAATCAGAGCTGACAAGCTCACTCGAAATGTCGTATTATTTCCGCAAATGCTTCGCTTCGGCTTCGTTTCGCTTTCGTGCCGTAAACTGCAGGCTGCGTAATTACTTCCGATAGTGCAAAATTAATCTAGTTATTTGTCCTAGGTAACATATGTTATATTTGTTTTGTATATCAATAAAGTTACAGCAAATATTTGATAATTTCGCTACCGAACACTTCAGCGTAATACCGCATTGCAAGTAAATAACATATTGCGCGCCAATTTCATTGCTATTTATAAATTTAAATTTTAGAACAGTCCAGATTTAAATTATTTTATCATACATTTTATAAAATATTCATTACTAGTTGTCGCCCGCGACTCCGTCTGCGCGGAATTAAAAATAAAACTTAATTAGTAGCCTCTGTGATCTTTCAGACTATGTTCTACATTTGTGCTAAATTTTCTCCAAAGTCGTTAAGCCGCTCCGAAGATTCAAACATGCATCCATTCGTTCAACATAGTTTTTGCATTTATAATATTAGTAAAATTTTGTATGTTTGTTTTACTGTCATTATCTATGCATTTTTTTTCGAATTGATAGCTGTTGTCCATTTACACACAATATGTATTTGTTTAACGTAGATGCGGTATTTGTGGTGACCCTTACGACCAGCCACGACCGAGAGACCACGAGCTAGGAGGTACATGGGGAGACGGCATCATCGTTGCCAAATACTCCGCTGGCCAAATCTTCTCTGCCACCGTCGACCTTACCGCATACCACAAAGGCTATTGGCAATTCAAAATCTGCCGAGACCCAACACGTAACGACCAGGATTGCTTCGACGAGAACATTCTAGAACTTGAATCTGGCGGTACTAAATACTACCCGAACAGAGATGCGAAATATACGATGACGTATCGTTTACCTAATGATTTATATTGTGAACATTGTGTATTACAATGGCAATATATCGCTGGAAATAATTGGGGCGTTTGTAAAAATGGTACTACTGGTCTAGGATGTGGGAATCAGGAACAATTTGGAGCCTGTTCTGATATCAGTATCTCAGTACCAATGGAAAACGCAGAGAATAAGCCCGCCTCATATTACCAAAGACTAGGCTACATCGATGTCCAAGGTGAGAGTCGTAACAGAAAATGAATAGCCCTTAACTAACGTCTTTACCTTAGCAGTATGCACGAACTGGGGTTGGTTGTATTGATTTTTCTTTTTATTTTTTTTTTAATTTATTGTTCTTTGAAGAAAATATATGTAAATATGTGATAAAATTGTAAATATGTAGATTTGAATTACTAATTTAATTGCTTTCTTACTAACGAATAATATTTTTAATCTGTACTTTTTCATAGAACTTGATTTGTGATTTTAAATTTTAAATGAAATCATAAAATAATTATTTATTTATTTTAAAAACGTTGTTATTTTGCGTAATGTTTAATTTTATTTGTCTACAGCAATCTTTGTATATAGCAATATAATGCAAAAAATTCCGTGAAAAAGTATAGAAACAATTATTGGGATGCAGTAAAAAATTAATATAAGCGTAAATACGCGTACAACTTCGGTTCGTGTCGGTGTTTTTGATGTTAAATATTTTAATAATAAACATTTATTATACATATTGTCTTTGATTGCTCTATATAAGCTATGGCTTAGCCAAAATGATTGCCCGATAAGATTCCTCTAATCCTGCTAATATTTTTACAATTTATAAGTCGATTGTCACCTTTTATCAGTCAGAATTTCACACGGTCATTGATTTTTGTAATTGCTTTATTCTGAAGATTTCACTAATTTCGTCTAAGATTAGAGGTTATTACTCATAATGTGTTAACAATATAATCCTAGCTTTATCTAACACTATCTGCTTTCTATTTACTGATTATAAAAGTAAATATAAAATTTTCCGCAACATAAAAGCAATAATAAATATTTTACAATGTTAACAAGATGCAGTGATGACTTACACTGATAGAAATATTATGCATCTTAACCAGTTATTATTATCGAAACATTCTATAGAAACATAAGTACTTTCATGTGGAAACACAGACTAAATAACGCGTGATTTAAATGCTGATTTTTTATACGTAATTAAAAATGCACGAACTAACACCTAGGCTTTTTAGCTATTTTTGAGCCAAAATATGTAACACTTTGAGTAACTGAAATGCTTTTTACTATAAAGAGGGTTCTGAAAAATCTGTTTTAAAAGTCTAATTATTTAACTTAATTATATAAACTCCTTAAATATTAATACGTAACTTCTGTTAATTATTTATATTATTAAAAATTTTAATATTGTTGTCATGTAGCTTGTTTAATTACCAAGTTAGCTGCTTTCATGTGTGGAAAATCCTTTCACAGTACTTCTTCAGTTGCTGGATAAAGTGAGACCCAGACCGAATGTCCGCGTCGGACCACCACGACCCGAAGATAAACCAAATATTAAAAGTAATAAACATAAAAGAAAACGTAAAGGAAAAAAGAATAAACCACGCAAAAGAAAAAAGGTATCAACTGAATTCTGTTAAGTTACATAAAAATATTATAGTATTATATTTATTGTAAAGATTTTTTTTGTTTTAGATCTAGCTTATGTTGTAGAAGCTAACCAATAAACTAAAACATTAAAATATATTTTATAGTTTAAACAATATAAAATGAATATTTTTTTCACATCGGACATCAAAAATAAAGTCAAAGGAAGAAATATGTATGGCGTGCAAAATGTATAATATTATATTATCTGTGGTATAACGTAACTATATGTAAATAATGTTTATCAAAAAATTGTAACCTAAAACAAATGTTGCGAGCTTACGAAAATCAAGGTAATCGGTGGTTTTATTATATAAAAATTGATTGTGATCAATCTACAAAAATATTATCATCGAACAATAACTAATTGGACTAATTGCAATAGAACAAGTTGTTTTTAGCACACCAAAAGTACAAAAGGAGGGAATTCGTCTGCATTTTTTTTATGTAACTACGTAGATCCACTCCTGGTTGTCAGAATTTGATGATTCTTTTTTATAATTACATACTTATACTGGGTTATTTATTTTATCAATAGTAAATATAATTAGTAATAAATAGTTAATTTAAAATGCTGTTTCATTATATTATTCTCGCATATCTTCTACAAATACGAAAAGAGAAAAAACATGATAACAGATAAATGTATTTTTTTTCCTTGGATGTGGCATATTATTACTATCAAATAAACAAACAAAAACCTTACTCCCCGGCGGGTATCGAACCCAGATCTCTTCGTGATATGCGGTAATCGTGAATGACCAAGTGACAAATGGAAAATATTAGTTGTACCATAAAGGCATGTTTTAAGTTCTCTTTATATTAAACTTTATATTATTACTAATATTAGACATACTTGTAGTCTTGAACTATCATCGTAATCTTATATTAATTATATGTGCATTGTTAGGGAATTTAAGAATTTAAAATATATATTTGTTTATTTTCTCAGTTTTATAAACGATAATCGCAGCCGGTTTTAGAACTAAAAGGAGAACTGTCATGGCGGCATCTGTCATTTTTATTTCATTTGTTTTTTTGTTTACGACACTTGTCGATGAAGAAATAAGTGTTTTCAAGCAAACATTTTAACTTCACGTGAAAGGCTAGACTTAAGAATTACCGTAAACACATGAACCCAAAATGAGTGAAAAACTTAAAGAGTTAAGGGAGAGATCACAAAAGCGTAAAAAGTTGCTTGCGCAAGCGGTAAGTGTATGAAATTATCATAACCTAAGTTATTTTTAGTCAAAAAAGTCTCAATTTAACTTGCATGATCTGATCAATGATCGTATCACAAAGTAGGTGTCCACAGGAACTGTACTTCAGTATAAAAAAACATTTTGTTACTTATATTGTCCACACAATAACGTTAAAAATTAAAGTAAATTAAATTTTGTCTATACTAACTACAGCTAGGCGTATCCAGCGTGAGTGAGTTAAGGCATGCATTAGGAGCATCCTTGGATGCATTTCCAAAGAAACAGGCTGTAGCAGATTACACTGCGGAAGGGAGTGAAAAGCCCGTCGCCAAGGAGCCGGATAGCCTTGTTTATACCGATTCCTCTACATTCTTAAAGGTAAGTATCCTAATTTCTGCCAATATTAACCATTTAAAAAGTTGTTTTGCTTAATTTATAAAATTTTATACCAGAAATAGATGTAATGAAAATTTTATAAGCTTTATACTTCCAGGGCACACAATCATCAAACCCTCACAATGACTACTGCCAGCACTTTGTTGATACGGGACAGAGACCACAAAACTTCATCAGGGATGTTGGGCTTGCGGATCGATTTGAGGAGTATCCCAAACTCCGTGAGCTCATTAAACTGAAGGATGACCTAATTGCACGAACTGCTACACCGCCTATGTACTTAAGATGTGATCTCAAGGTGATAATTGTGTACTAGACTAATTTTGTGTAATTCATTTAACGTAATAGATATGTAGACACAATCAAACCACTGAAGCTTGCCATATTAGAAGTTTTACTCATAAAACTCTTTTAAAATATAGTTTAAAAACTATCTAAATTAATATAAAGCATACATAACATAGCAAAACTACCAAACATGAATTAGTTATATGTTGTTAGTGTCTTCTTGAGACAAACAGTTACGATGATATAATAAAAATAGTAATTTCGTGTGCGCAGACTTTTGACTTGAAGCAAATGGGGTGCAAGTTCGATGTGGTGCTGGTGGAGCCACCGCTGGGTGCAGGCTGGCGCTGGCAGGATGTGTTGGCGCTCGACCTGCAGCAAATAGCACAACCAAGGTGCTTCCTCTTCCTCTGGTGCGGCAGCTCTGAAGGTACATCAACAGTCTCACTGCTCAAAATTAGTGCTAATCCGTTCATTAGAAATGCTAGGAACATTCAACAACTATTTGGTACTTGTATATTAATCCACTTTTTGCTTACACTTTTATATTATTTGAAAATATTTGACAACGGTTTATAAAGTTATCTTTTTATCTTATTTCTTACTTATATTGTAAATGCGTAATTTGGATGTATGGAATTTTGTTAACACTTAACCCAAGTATGGCTGAATGAATCAGGATGAAATTTAGAGTATAAATAGATTACAGTCTGAGATCTGGAATCACCCAATGGAAGTTAAATTGTTGTTTCTTTTTCTACCACAGGTTTAGATATGGGCAGAGAATGTCTAAAGAAATGGGGATTTCGTCGCTGCGAAGATATCTGCTGGATAAAAACCAATATAAAGAACCCGGGGCACTCGAAAAATTTGGAACACAATGCTGTGTTCCAACGGACCAAGGAGCACTGCCTTATGGGTATCAAAGGGACCGTACGAAGGTCTGTGGATGGAGATTTTATCCATGCTAATGTGGATATTGACCTTATCATATCAGAGGATCCAGAGTTTGGCAGCACGGAGAAGCCTATTGAAATATTTCATATCATGGAACACTTTTGTTTGGGACGGAGAAGGTAAGCTGTTGTCTTTTTGATTGTTACTTTTTTTCGTTTTTAAAGTTAACTATGTAGCTTTATCAAGTGATCTGTTAATTTTATATGCTAATGATATGAAATTTTAAAATTGCTGTGTAAATGTTATACATAAAATACTTGTGTCACAATGTTAGTTACCATACTCCACCGAAACAGCTTGGCCATATTTTATGACATTTTATATACACATTCAATAGGACTATGAATCGGCTACTATCTACTTTATTAATCCCGCGCGGACAGAGTCACGGGCAACAGCTAGTTCAATAAAAAAAAAATTACTAAATTACATAAAATGACTGCAGTAGTAAGAAAGTGTGTTTTATAGGTCCTTGGTTCTGTTAATGACGTTAAACATATTTGCAGGGTGCATCTGTTTGGCCGCGACTCAACGATCCGTCCTGGCTGGGTGACCATCGGCCATGAGCTCACAAACTCCAACTTCAATGCGGAGTTGTACGCAGCCAACTTCACAGAGGGCCGCGAGAGTACTGGCTGTACCGAGCGCATTGAGGCGCTCCGCCCCAAGAGCCCCCCTGCCGCAGGAAAGCCCCGACCCAGAACCAGGAATGCCTTCAGGGCTCGACCACGTGGCAGACCTAATGTATAGGACCGGAAAGGTCCTAATATGAAAAGGACCTTAAAGAAGTGAAACTTTTGTAATTCTGCTGTCATTGTGTGTGAAAAAAATATTAATATGTAGTGCAATTGAACATGAAATTGAAGAAAGTTTAAATTAGTTTGATATGTCTAATGCGACAAGGAATTGCAATAAGTCTGGCCAATTGAAAGCAATGCAGTAATTATAGTGAATGTGACGTGAAATAAATGCTAGAAACAGTGACAATGAATTCCTTATGACACCAAAATCTCTAAAATATTGTCATCCTTGTCATTTATCTTTGAAAAAAGGTGATGACAGGGATGACAATGTTTTAAACAGGGATTTTGGTCTCCGAAACTCACGGTTAATGTATAAGTGTCAACAATTTTGAAGGTAAGTAGTATAGTTAGTATTCAATGGATTAGTTCAAAGTTTTTTTAACTCGCATGACCATTTTGAAATATAGGATGTCTTAAATAGCTGAGTTGTATGGAATTTAATGTTTTTTACTTAAGCTATATTTATATTGATTACATTGTATTTTTAGTAATTAATTTTATAAAATTGACCACATTTATGTATTTAATAATTTCTACAATGTGTAGATATTGATTATATTTCTTAATATTATTCATTGAATTATGAATCTGATACATTTTTAATGTTTTTGTTCGTACAAATATGAAAGATGCAAAAATATTGTTAATCTTCATTTATACAAATTCAATAAGTAATAAATATTTTTTTTTATTAAAATGTTTTACATTTTATTACCTTCTAGGTTTATAAAATTGTATTTTTCTCCAAACAACAAAGAATTTTAACTCGGTTATTTTATTAATATAATTTTAACTTTGATTAAAAAACGTATAATAGGTATTAGTAGAGTAGAAAGGAGGAGGTAAATAAAAACCAAACAACCTTAACAAATCACTTTATTTGATAAAATTATTTACAAACGCCACGCGCTTTTGAATTAGATTCCATCAGCTGCGAGCCTCACTTGACGCTTGTGAAGGAAAACTAATCATTTATATTGCAAAAAAAACATAAAACTCAAAATCAACTAGGATTTTAAATTACAAAGAAAAACACAGTAATTACACATTATTGCTTCACTAACCAGTGAGAAGCTAATTTCGAGTAAATAAGGTGAAACTTGATTTTACTTGAATTTTGTTACTTAACAATATCTTACTAATATTATATTTTATAACAAATTAGTTATAACAGTTTTTCTAATAACACACTTTAAATTAAAAGCATTTTTTTAATTTTAAAAGGCAGCAGTGTAAGTGTTAATAGAAATAAATTATGAATCGATCATTTTTAACTTTATGAATTTATATTTTTACAATATCATTTGATGCTAATCAGTTTATGTACAATATTACTTGAAATATAACAATAACTATACAAAAAAAAAGCATACTACAAAATACAATAGAACACAACCATAACCGAAAATGTTTAAAATATAATTTTTCATAGAGAAATTCACTACATCCCCAAATACTAGTCCCGACTAAATTTCAACACAACAAAAAAACATTATATTAAAAATAAAATTCTTTAAATCAATTGATTTATAGAATTATTTTATAATCAAGAATTTTATATTCGATATTCCAGAATTAAATAAATTGTAGATTGAATCATTATTCTAGTTTTAGTGACGTCATCGCAATAGTTTTTCGTTACTGCACACAGGTTGCAATGTCTATAAACTACAATATTGACTAATATGTTGAAGCATGTCTCTAAAACATATTAAATGCATATACTATCGTATTTCTAAGGGAAAATGACAATTTTTTATATATCTTTTTGCACATAAAATAATATTTCTCAAAGCTTTAGTTAATCATCACAACATTCATAGCTGACTTTAGACCGATCGGAAATATAATACACATCACAAATATTTTAGCATTTAACATTTTACTGTCATTTTAATAGTTGTTTAATTTCTGTTTCCACTGTTGTAATACTTGTATAAACATATTTACTAATGTTTTTATTTTGACAAATTTTCACAACAAAATATACATGTACAAAATTAAATTTGGGTTAATATCAACAATTCTTTGTATTTTTAATATATTAAGAGATATTTATGAATACTACTTGATTGAATAATATTTTTTTTTAACTGTTACATGATGGATTACACAGAAAGGCGATGGTGTTGCATTGGATATTGTTTTTGCGTTAAAAAATTAAAAAAAAAAACTACAAAAATAGCAAAAAAATGGTCTAGACAGACAGATGGACGGACAACAAAGTGATCCTATAGAGGTTCTGTTTTATCCCTTCGAGGTATGGAACCATAAATATAAGGAAAAATCTAAAAAAAAACTTGTTACTAGGAAATTCTTCCTACTTTAAGAAACTAGAAAGTTTTAAAACATTTTTTATGCATTGATAGATTAAGAGAATGTACATAAATTCCTGAATAGAGAGAAAAAAAACATAAATATAATGCAAATATTTATAACACCCAATGCCACAAAAAGCAACATCTGTGTAAACCATTCCGGGCACAGACCTGTGCTAATCTTGTCTATATTGTGACATAAAAACCTAGACACATTGAAGTCCTAGGCATGTGGTCCTAGGGACGTTGTGACCCTGGGCACATAGTCCTAGGTCTAGTCTAGTTCTATCCGCATACTGGCTGCCAGAGTGCCGCACTGTATTTTAGATTCCTTCAGTTTATTAAGAGACAGTCTCATATCTTCCATAGTAATAGGTCTCACTGCATCCACAAATTCCTCGTCTGAATCTGAATTGGATGTTCTGTTTGTTGTACTCTGGAAATATAAAATAAAATGTATTTATATTAAATTTTATAGAGTTAAAAACAGTTTTTTGCTAACTTTTAAAGTTTAAAGTAATGAAAATTATGAAGATATAGCAATCAGTAATATTTTGATATCTTTTATTATTTCCATATGTATTTCAATATTAAACAAAATTCGGTAAGTTCGATAAGTTTAATTTACATATGTACTTAATAACTCTGCAACGGCTTAACACATTTTATTGAAACAGTCGCAGATATAGAACATAGTCTCATATAATACAAAAATGAATTTTCACACATTTTTTTTCATTTCTTGGTATATATAATCACAAACCTGATCACAGTCGCGGGCAAGTTCTCGCACGCGGTATACTGCAGCCTGACGACACAGCTCGTGCAGGTCTGAACCTGAGAATCCCTCCGTAGCGCTCGCCAGACGCCGGTAGTCAATCTGCACATATATAGAGCTATGTGAATATAATTAACTTTTACTTAACAGTGGTAGAGGCCACCAACATTTATTACACGAATGTGAATCGACCGGTACAATACCACAAACACACAGAAAACTGGCGTCAAGTGGTACAGTCTGATGAGTGTTCATCAGTTCCGGTAGCCTAATTTTAGTTCTTATTCCCTTCTTTACCTTTTCTTATAAATATAGAGGAGGATATGATGGAGGAAAGGACGCACAGTAAGGGGAAATATCCTTCTGTGAGTCTCCTCCGTTAATTAAGGGTAGGGATATGGTCGCTTCAGGTGGCCGCTTGCTTGTAAGAAAGGTCTGAGCCTCTCAGTCTCAGACTGAATGTAATCTCTGTGTGTGTGTGTGACTGACATCATTGGCGACAGGCTCAGAGCGCAGTATGAGCTGCAGGATGCGCTCGCGCTGCATCTCGCTGGGCATGGGCACGTGGAAGGTGGCCGGCATGCGTCGCTGGATCGCCTTGTCCAGGTCTTGGGGACGGTTTGTTGCACCTGACATTAACAAATATACCAAAACTTGTATAACTTATTCTAATACAAAATTTAAACCATAGACAAACTGCTCTTTACTCTAAAAACCTTAAATTCAAATATATTTCAAGTAAAATAATTTTTTCATATTATTTAACATAATTTTTCACAAAAATATATTAAAATAATTTTATAATATCTGCATGTGTGTAATTCGAATTTTATCTGGTCTTCAATATGAGATCATCATCAGCTCACTATATGTCCCATCGAGGGGCCCGGAGCCTACCCTAAGTTAAGGGTGATTAGGCCATAGTCAACCACGCTGGCCAAGTGCGGGTTGGTTGACTTCACATATATCTTTGAATTACTTCTCAGATATGTGCAGGTTGCATCACGATGTTTTCCTTCACTGTAAGAACGTCGGTTAAATGTACATATGTAAATCGGAAATGGAAAAACACATTGGTACATGGCGGGATTCGAACCCAGGACCTGCAGATTGCAAGTCAAGTGCTTGACCACTGAGCCACCGACGCTCAAAATATGAGATAGTGTTGCAATATTAAAAGCGACAGTGGCGCCCCCAAGCAAAGTATATTCTTACCCATTATGATGACTGTGCAGTTGTTGTCTGTGATGAGTCCGTCCCACAGCGACATGAACTGTGTCTTCATCATGGC